TATGTAGCACAAGGCTGGTTTATTGTGGGTTCTCCGAGCCCGTAGGCTCGGCCAAAAATATTCCCTTTGAACCCATATAAATGGGTTCAGGTCTTGTCTACCTCCCCAGACGAAACTTTACCCCACCCCCGGCAAAGCTTCGTCCGGGTTCCTTTCCGCCGAAGCAGAGGGATTGACAGCAATGAACGGTTTGGCACCGGTCCCAATGGCTCGATTCTGTCGAACTGCAGATTACAGTGGCCACTCTCATTATTTTGAGGGGGGGACGGGTTCTACTAACATCTGTTTTGTTTTTAGTTTGAATATTTTGTTGTATTTTAGTTTCGTTTTCTGGGTTCATTCCCTCCCCCATTATTTAAAGCATTAAGAAAATTTTTATATTTTTTTTATTATGAACGGCACAAATTTTTGCATCATGAGGTGTTTTGTATGAATATATGGTATTGTGGTACGTGTAGGAATGAGACATGATGGACAAATTCTTTTGATGACTGAGCATATTGTATTGGATGAATGGATCGTGATTGTGATTGACTAGGATAGTTACTGAGGACCAGCCTTTCCCACTTTCCTCCTCAGCCTTGTGCCATACTTTTTTGCATTATTACAAAGAATAAATATATTCCTTTCAGAGCATGGCCGATTATGGCTCTTCATAACCTTATTGTCCACTGAGGCTCAAGTTTAACGCAGACACCCAGTGGAATTCACACACACACACACACACACACACACACACACACATATATATATATATATATATACAAATGTAAAAGAACGAAAAGTAAGATTAATTTAAAACGGGGCTTAATACAAAATTAGAGCAATAAATATTTATTTATTATGCAGTGTTACATTAGAACATGCACATACCCACTACAAAACTGTACATCTTGTTTCAAAGTTTAAAAAAATTGACATTTCTTCAGGTGGGAAAACACGATGCTACTCCGTAGCACAGTATTTTAAAAAAAATATAGGTTGAAACAAGATGTACAGTTTTGTAGCGTGTATGTACATGTTCTAATGTAACAGTGCATAACATACATATATATATATATATATATATATATATATATATATATACACATACAGTAATAGTAATGACTTGAGATACGAGTTTAATTCATTCCAATACCGAGAACGTAACTCAAAAGACTCGTATCTCAAATATATTCCCCAATGAAATTAATGGGAAATATTTCTGATCCATTCCAGGCTCCTAAAAATTCACCAGTGCTCTTTACACTTACTTTCTTCGGACCCATGGTGTCACTAAAGAAATGTTACAAAATAACGGCAAAATGGCCACACACAGCACGACAGAGATCCTTCCAGGGGGCAGACGTGAACGCGTTTGCTGCGAATGCATAATCGAAACTCGCCTGTAACTCAAAATTCAGTTAATACCTCCGGCTCATATCTGAAAAAAAAACTCAAAAAAACTCGTATGTCGGTACGCTCATATCTCAATGTATAACTGCACGCACACACACACACACACACACACACACACACACACACGCATATCTATATCTATATATGGGTGGTTAGAACGTTCGCATTGTGACCATGAGAGCCGAGTTCGAATCTCGCTATGGTCGATTTGTCATGAAGGAGACTTCCTGGTGTTATCGGACTGGTAGTGTCGATACTAGCGTGCAGCACCTTTGGAAAGTGCCTGAAAACCATACCACGGATTGACCCAAGCTTTGTGAGAGTAATTGGGTTGACAGAACTTTTGGGTGCTGTCGATAGCTGTGCTAGCTCGAAGTCGAATCGAATCATCCTAAAGGTATAGCCGAAAGCGCTCGGAAATATAAAACATTTGGACAGTTCTTATACACACTTTGTCCAGAAAAAAGAAAGCTCTTGTTCGTACACAAGAAAAATTAAATAAAAAGCTTAACCGTAGTACCTTGTCTGTCGTTTTTAATGAAACATGCATAAAGGAAGGATTTCTGCCTAGATATATAACTACATATATATATATATATATATATATATATATATATATATATATATATGCGAATACTCTTCGATAGCGATATGAGTACGCGTCAACGGGACCAAGTTAGCACAACACCAGATGGGTCATCGTTATTTTGCACACTGCCCTCACTTGTTAAAAACACACACACACACACACACACACACACACACACACACACACACACACACACACACACAAAATGTAAATATACATGTAGCGTATATATATATATATATATATATATATATATATATATATATATATAGATTACCAATAATACGTTTTATAGCAAACTGACTCTCACTACAACAATAAAAACTTATAAAATACATCTCTGTCGTAAAATTACCTGTATGGCAGTTTATGATCTACAAAGTATATATCTAAAAAATATACATTTACCCCGAAATTATAAATTTATTTACAAAATATCTGTAGGTGAAGGTCAAAATTTGCGTACAAAACATTTATTGACCGAGCAGCCAGTGCAGCCTTTTTAGTTGCAAATTTATCAAATCTTTCTCTTTCAGGAAAACGGCTTTCTCAAGTCCAGTAGCTGTTATCACTCTTTCATGTTATTGATGGAGGTTTCCTTCCTAACCTTTTGTGTGAAGTAGTGGGGAATATCAACATCTTGATTATATCCTTATTTTCTCTACGGGTTACATGTGATATTATACATCTAAATTGTTGCCGCTGTTGATAGAACTCAAGTCATGTGGTTTCTCTTATTTGGTATACTTCTTTGTTTGTGATTATGTAGCGCTAGTCCACAATGTTCATAGAAGCATGGGCATAAGTTCTCAAACTTCACTGGCTCAAAGCCGTTAATAACCATTGTTCTTAGAAAGCGGTTGTATACAGCTGACAGTTTAGGTATTTCTGTACGGGTTTGGCCTCATGTATTACATCCATAGCGAAATCTCAATTTGCCGCGTCTTTTTACGAACATTGGTGAGCTTTGCGGGTTGATGTTTTTTTTTTTTTAGCAATTTTGCCTTTTGGGTGAAACTACCTCTTACATATCCTATCCTCTGCCCAGTGTTTTTTATCTTCTAAATCAAGTTTATGATAATTAATCCATACGCCGAAGTATTTGAAGCATTTAGTATGTCGTTTTTTGACGTTAAAAAATACGTCAAAAAACGACATTATTACGTCATTATTTTTGCACCAACCTAATATTTACTAATTCAACATTCTGGATTTTTTATGATCGATTCAGTGTATGCGCCATTACTGTTTTCATTCCAATTCCAGATCATAGGTTCTTTTTTGGGTAGGTTTATCTTGAGTACTATTTATTGGTACACTTGCTAGAGGATGCTGATTTTCTATTCAAGATCATTCCTATCCCAACTATGAATGCCTATGTCTTCAGCATAGCCACCGCCCCTCATCAACATAATCTCGATTCTATTACGTTTGGCATCGCACCAAGTGCTTCAGTTAATATGGGCACGACCATGAACTTCTTTTATCTTTTACAGGAGAAATTATTTTATTTTTTTAAATTTTTCATGCCGTCCTAAGACGATAAACTAAATCCGAAAAGTAAGGCCTCTGTTCAGGAGGTTTTGAGGAGCGTTGAACTACCTGTTAATTGCTGGTGTTCCCAGATCCACCCTGACCTGGGGTGGTAGCACCTGTTAGGGTCACAGCTATGGGCAAATAGTTAACCCCTAAACTGGGGTCAAAACACTATGAAAGTGTAAAAATAGGTTTTAATACCATCAATAAATTTTGAGAAAAATGTTTACCAGCAATATATTATTACCAGCATACATTTTTGAAGGAAAAATATTACCAGCAATACATTTTTCAGGAAAAAATATTACCAGCAATACATTTTTGAAGTAAAAATATTATCGGCATTACTATTTGTAAATAATTATTGCCAGCAGTACATAATTACCAGCGATACTTTTGAATAAAAATATTACCAGCAATACTTTTGAATAAAAATATTACTGGCAATACTTTTGAAGAAAAATATTACCAGCGATACTTTTGATGAAAAATATTACAAGCAATACTTTTGATGAAAAATATTACAAGCAATACTTTTGAAGAAAAGTATTACCAACAATACTTTTGTAAATAATTATTACCATCAGTACGTTATTACCAACAAAAATTATTTGGCAAAAATATTACCAGCAATACTTTTTTGGCAAAAATATTACCAGAAATAAAAATCTTGTCGGTATTAAATAAGTTTGATATGCCGTAAACTAAACCAATTTTTCCACATTTTTATGTCTTTAGTCTGTGCTTCAATTAATATCTGACTCAGTGATTTTTCGCGGTGTATTTAAAAAAACAAAACTGATTAAGTGTTATTCATTTTCCTGAGAAAAAGGTAAAGGTTATCAACGTAGATAATGGATTCAGAGAGCCGAGTTCGAATTGTTACCCAGTCTATAGATTTCTTTTTCGCATTAATAATAAATCCATCCTTTCTCCTTTCAAGTATAGGTTAAATAGCAGAGCAGATGGAAATCTCTAGCTTTGGACAGGTAGAATATTAGAAGGAAAGTTGAAAAGAATGGAGAAGTCAACGGGAATTTACTCCACTGACTTTCCCAAGAAGTCAGAGTAATTCATAGATAACAAGGAAAATGTATTTGTGGCTTTCCATGATCGCCTATGCCCTTAAAGGAGCAAATGTAAAAGCAATAACTATCTTCTATACTCCAGGATATTCCTCGGTATTCTAGTTGAATTTATGAGTGTAGTTGTGTGAATGTTTTCCTGTTTTGTTAAGAGTATCAAGTCTTTCCAACCCGACATTAATATTAGATTTCCCGCGTCTGCGTGCACACACCAGGTGCCTGTTCGTTGTCACAGAAAATCGAGGGATAGCATTTTATCCCTAACTGGCCATTATATTCCTGGTTGTTCAGAGGCCTTGCTGCAGTGCCACTGTCTGGACAATCTCAGTTCTCCCTAAAATTGGAATTATGATTTTCTTTAAAGCATAATTTTGGCAGATGCCTAGTGGTTATCAATAGGAGAGATGCACAGAGAGAGAAAGAGAAAGATACAGAGGAAGGGTAAGAGAAGTGAAAAAGAGAACGAAAGTGAATGAGAGAGAGAGAGAGAGAGAGAGAGAGGGAGGGGTGAGCGAGAGAAAAAGAGCGAGAGAGATAAAATGAGAGGGCGAGAAAGAGAGAGAATGAGCGAGAGAAAGATAGAGAAAAATATGAAGTGTGAGAGAGAGTGGGAGAGAAATAGAGAAAGAGAGAGAAAGAGAGAGAGAGAGAGAGAAAGAGAAAGATAGAAAGAAAGAGTGAAAGAGAGAATGTGAGAATGAGAGAGAGGTTGGAGTGAGTGAGAGAAAGAGATCGAGAGAGAAAATGAAAGGGCGAGAGAGAATGTGTGTGAGAGAGAAAGAGAGAGAAAAAGAGAAGGAGTGAGAGAGTGACTGAGAGAAATAGAGTGAAACAGTGAAACAGTGTGAGAGAGAAAGAGAGAGAGAGTGAGAGAAAGAGCAATGGAGGTAAAGAGAGAAAGAGTAAGAGTGAGAGAAAAATAATGTAATGTGGTAATGGTAATATTAGTCGTTTCCTTCCAAGGAAACATTTGGCATTCATTGACCGATCAGCAAGTAATGTTTTCGGTTGAAATTTATAAAATATTTCTCTTAAACAGCTTTTCAGAAAAAACAGGTTTCTCAAGTCCAGTAGCTGTTATCGCTTTTTCCACTATTGACGAGGGTTTCCTTCCTAAACGTTTTTGGTGCTACCTGTTGGTAGTCTTCAGTAGACGTGCTTTCACTTATTTGGTACAGTTTTTTGTTTATGAATCTATAGCGCAAGTCCACAATGTTCAACGGCAGATGATCTTTGTCAAGCCCCTCAGGTTTCACTCGCTCAAAGCCTGTTTTCACCATTGATCTTAGGAAGTGCTTGTATACACCTGACAGTTTAGGTATTTCTGAACGGATCAGGCGCTATGCATGGCATGCATATGAAATTCTTGACATATATATTTTCCAATTTCTCAATCTCTTTCTATTTTAGCCTGTGTTCGGTAGAAACAACGATATTCCTTATCTGTTGATTTTTTCCTTGTTCAAGATGAGATTATTCTTGCCAAAGATCTATAGCAGAGAGGGTTGCGAAATGACTAACGACAAGTCTCTATAAATCTATAACATTCACAACTGTATTACCGCCAATTTCGAAACTGTTGGACTTCAAATAATTCGTATTATTAATTGCTTTGGTTTTCAAAATCTTGCATATAGTTATCAGATTATTACTGTTTATCCATGCTTCCAAAAAAATTGTCATATTTGAGTCTTTAAATATATTTTTCAGTTATATTATTATTATTATTATTATTATTATTATTTATGCTTCTTGATTCCTTGGAGAACATAGGGTTGCAACAACACCTCTCCAACGGAATGGTTCCGAGCGATCCTCTCCAGCTCGGCCCAGGTCGTGCCAGATGCCTTCCCCTCTGCGTCAACACTTCTGTGCCAAGTCTGTTTTGGTCGACCCACTTTTCGCTTCCCTTGTGGATTCCAGTCAAGGTCTGCCTGGTGACACTGGAAGCAGGCTTGCGGAGTGTGTGGCCAATCCATCACCATTTCTATTTCTTGATGTCAATCTCGATTGGGGCTTGTCTGGTCCTGTTCCACATTTGGTCGTTGGAGACGATTTCCGGCCACCTAATATTGAGGACGTTCCTAAGACATCGGTTGGTAGATGTCTGAAATTTGTGGGTGTTAATCTTGGTCACCGGCCAGGTTTCTAAGCCGTAAATTTAGACCAACTTGACGTTGGTGTTGAAGATCCGGATCTTGTTATAAATTGAGAAGGTTGTTTATCTCCAGATTGGCGGTAGAGTGTTGAATGAAGCATCTGGAAGATCTGGACTTCGCAGACGACATCAGTCTGCTCTTCCACAAACAAGATGCGCAGAAAAAGCTGAGTCGTGTTGCCGGAAGAATCTGAGGAGACTGGCCTCCAAATCAACATCCGGAAGACGGAGGTCATGAGAGTAAACAGCAGAAAACAAGACACAGTGCGATCACACCAAGAAAACATCAAGGAAGTCAATAAGTTTGTCCACCTTGGAAGCGTTGTCAGTAAAGATGGGTGGTGTGCAAATGAAGACATCAAGTGTCGAATCAACAAAGCCCGACACGCTTTCAACACTCTGCAGCTAATCTGGAGATCAACAGATCTTTGATTTTACAACTAGATTCGGTTTTTCAACACCAACATCAGTTATATTAATATTTAGTAATTATGAACGGATCAATTTCTTACTTAATGTCTATAGATAAGTGATCATCTCACGTTATGCCTGCTGAAATCATATACGAATACTATTTAACCTATAGAGAGGAGGCACGGTGGAGTAATGGATAGTGACTCAGATTAAGGAATCGAGGAGCCGAGTTCGAATTCCAGTCGAATCCATTACATTCCCTCATGTACATACCCTTGGGAAAGAATCTCCTTCCTCTTCTTGAATGGCAACTGATCTACCGCAGAAAGAAATGACAACTTACTGCTGGGAAAAAAATTGCCTCGTCAGTCATGTATCGAACATAACTAATAATTAAGTGATAATATAGTATTATTACATTATAATACATTATTCTTAATGTTATTCATCGGATCACATATAATATTCTCATATAATTAAATTATAGTAATCCTGTAATATGGAGAAAACTAATATAATATAACGGTAAATAATTTTTCTTTGTTATTAGCGTGTTAATGAAAAATTCAGTTTAATGTCTCTCGATGTCTCGCCTATATAACTGCATCACAGTATGTCATAAATGAATCTTCATTAAAAGAAGATGTCTTTATTAAATATTTCGTGTTTATAATACGAAGCCGTGGAAATCACATTTAGGAATAAATTGACATTGCTTTTATCATCAGCGAAAATAAACAACTCAGAATTTAGCCCGGATTTCTTTCATAATTCTTATTTGGTATAATTTAATATTCGGTGATCATTTTACAGGAAATATCGGCTGCAATCTTTTGGACACAAGTTACTCACTCCAATTAAAGAGATGAAAAATTGTCACTGCTAACGGGTTTACGAATGCATTTAATATGCCTTTGTTAATTCACTTACATGTTTACGTCGTTGAAAAATTGAGAAATTATCCATTTCGAAAATACAACAAAAATATTCACGAAAAAAATGTTCATTTATTTACCTAGTTTAATCGTAAAACGATGGCTTACGGCCAAATCACATTGAAATACCTGTTCACCTGAAGTTAAACAACGTTGAGCGTGGGTAGTACCTAGATGGGTGACCACTTGGGAATACCAGGTACTGTCAGCTTGGATGTGTGGGTGGTGTAATGGATAATGGCACGGAATTGTTAATCCGAGAGTCGAGTTCCAATTCCAGTTCGGTTCGTTATATTCACTTAGGCGCAAATACCCTTGGGAAAGGTATGAACCCACTTCTTCTCCCCCAACTATGGGTTAATTAGTAGGACTTATATCACAGGTGTGGGCATGATCAAGTGTAATTGACAAAATTCTCAACAAGCCGGATTATGAACAATAATAAGTAAAAGAAAAAAAAGAACTGACCAAATTGATACGGGACAATATCTTTTTCTTTCTTTCTTTCTTTCTTTCTTTCTTTCTCTGTCTATCTATCTCAGTTTGTTCATATCTATCTATCTATCTATTTTTGTTAGTCGGTTCATATCTCTCTCTCTCTATCTATCTATCTATCTATCTATCTATCTATCTATCTATATATATATATATATATATATATATATATGTGTGTGTGTGTGTGTATGATAGTTTTAATATAGCTTTAATATATACTATATTTATGGGTTTAAGTGCATCATATCAGGGAGAGAGCCTATGTAAATATAAATGTGGACATTGATGTCAACACCCAGAGCCGACACTCTGTTTTATGCGATGTCTGACGATTGCTTCAGTGTGGACTTCAATTCATATATATATATATACATGTAAAAGGTACGCTATATTTAGGCGGTAAAGGGATCCTCATTAGGGATAGACCGTATATAAATATAAACGTGGACAGTGAAATCAACACTCACTGGCGACAGTCTGTTTCATACTAATCACAACACTCAGGTCATCGATTGCGTTTAATTAAGGTAAAAAGCAAAGCGAAAAAACAATAAGAAAGCTAAATGCTCACAGAATAGGAATAGTGTTCACACGTTAAAGGGATACAGTCAAGTGGTTATATCTTTCTGACTTTAAAACAAGAAAGAATATAAATGTAAGAAAAAGATCGAGAGTCGACCATTTTTGATGGTAGGGGGAAGAAATCCCAGCCATTTTCTATAAATCTGGGCTGGGGCGGTTACGTTTTTTTAGTAGACCTTCCCAGAGATTGTAACTAACAGTTGGCGCTGCATATTTGATTCACAGATTACATAACCAGGCACATGAATGTATCAAAAGTTCATTCGAACTTACCCGAAGCCTATTCTTCTGGAAATAAATTTGGTGCCTACAGCCGACGATCATAACTAGTTTTTTTTTCTCTCGAAAGCTACAAGAATAGATTAAATATCGTACCTTTGAAATTCTAGCACGTTTATTTGAAATTTCAGATCAAAAGGAAATAATTCACATTTTAATCGTATAGGAAAAATAAAAAAAAAAACTTTCCTGTTTTAATGCAAAAGAAAAATAAAGCCGAAATGCGTGCCTGCAGGTAATCAATATTTGATAAACGAACACACACACACACATATATATATATATATATACATATATATATATATATATGAAGAAATATAGCCTTAAGATGTGCTATATTTATGGGATAAAGTGCTCAATATCAGAGATAGAGCGTGTGTAAATATATATATATATACACACACACACATATATATATATATATATATATATATATGAGACACATATATATATATATATATATATATATATATATATATATATATATATATATTGCTTCAAGCATAATTATAGTGGATGTTCGTATTTTAAATAGACGCACCATTATTATTTTTTTATTTTTTTGCTTGTCTTGTTTTACTTTACGGTATATCAACCTGATTGAGTTATTTAATGCTGACAAGATTCTTATTGCTGTTATTATTTTTTCCACAAAGTATGTCTGGTAATAGTTTCCCCCAATAAATTTATTTTTGGTAATATTTCTTCCCCAAAAGTATTGCTTAATAAGAATGGTTTTTACACAAATTCTATTGCTAGTATTAAAACCTATTTATGTCTGTTTGGTTTCGTCTCTTTCGTTGATTACATTCCGCAAAATGGGGACTTATATCTGCCAGGCCCATTCAAAACACATACATTAATTATTAGGAGGATTTGACAATTATATTCAATTAATTCATTCTGAAAGAAACCTCAATAGAATGTGGACGGACGTTTCGTCCTATATTTGATAGTGCGCATCCACTTTTGAAACCCGGACAGTTAGGTTATCAAGCAAGGGTCATACCAACTGTTCCAACGGGCAAATCAGTGTCAATGTAGCGCCGCTCGCTCACATATTCCTTGGTGGAACTCAACTGAGATTCTCTCTAACCATAGGACTGTGCCCCCAGGAGCCACGACTACTATCACCAAGCCGCTCAAACTTGAGCATTAGAAGCCGGTTCAAGCAATGATATACAAATGATAGAAATTATTAGAAGGATTTGATAATTATAATTATAGTTTACGATTAATGGGCTGCAATTGTAGATGGCTGTCTGGTAGGTTCATATGTTCTCCGAACACGTCTTACAGGAGCTGTCTACAGGGACTTTATTTCGAACACACTTCCAGACCTGCTAGAGGGTGTACTCCTGCTAATACGAAGATACATGTGGCTCATGCATGATGGGGCTCCAGCACATTTTAATCACATTGTTCGCTATGCACTGGCTGATATCTACCATGAAAGATGTATAGGTAGGGGAGGACCGGTTTCATGGCTTGCACCTTCCCCCGACCTCAGTACCTAAAACAATTGGTTTATGCATCAGGCATTAATAATGCAGAGACGTTTCGTCAACGTGTCATGTGGGTCTATGAAACCTTTCGACACCGTGTAATATTTGAAAGGGCCCGCCAGTCAATGATCTGACGGGTGAATCCGTGTATAGAAACAAGCGGGGGACATTTTGAACATTTGTCATGAGTTGCTGCGTTGAGGTACAACCATGGCCTTTTGAACATATGTCTGTTTGGACATTTTACCTAGTGCTGGTGTGAGAAACCCGCCCCAAAATCTGTAAAGTATTTTTGATACACCATATATATATATATATATATATATATATATATATGATAATAATGTCCTGCTATTTTACCCATAGCTGGAGGGAGAGTAAGAGGATTGATACCTTTCCCAAGGGTATTAGCACGTAAGTGAATGTAATGGATTCGACTGGAATTCTAACTCGGCTCTGCGATTCCTCAATCTAAGCTGCTATCCATTACTCCACCGTGACAGACCGGGTTCTATAGCCTTGGATGGCAACTGGTCTAGAAGAAGGACAACTCTGAATTCAAAGCCTGCGGAGGGTCGTTTGGGAACCTTGTGGCATTCGGTGCACCAGATCTCTGTATTCGTCCCTTCAAAAAGTGTGGATGTTCCTGCACGAAGCCTTCACCACTGTAATCAAATCTCATGTGCCGGTGTCGGGCTGTCGGTTTCCTGGAAACTGATCTGCTTGACCCTCATACGTCGAATCTCGACGGGAGAGTCGATTATTAATAATATATATATATATATATATATATATATATATATATATATATATATATATATATATATGTAGCCGGCACATTATATATATATATTGTGTGTATTTAGGCAGCATTTTTTCATTCATACATGTTTCATTAAATAATATAGACAAGACATCTTTGATAATGGCTTATGTAAGCCGAAAGCTTAGAGTGGATTAAAAAATATGGATCAATATTTTGATTTTCTTTCTTCGTTTAATGATAATGTTATTAAACTTATCAGACGTTATGAAAAGAATTTACATAAAATAAATAGACAACACTTGTCTATATTATTTAATGAAACATGTATGAGTATTTATATATATATATATATATATATATATATATATATATATACAGGGTGTATCAAATATATATATATATAGCGAGAGAGAGAACGAGAGATAGAGTGAGTAACAGTCAGACAGAGACGTTGAAAAACATTGTCAAACACCATCTGATAAAGCGCAGAAAAGTTTTAACATTTTTGCTGGGCGCAAACAAATTTTCAATCAACAAAAAGAAAAAAATAATTGCTCTAAACAATAAAGTTCAAAATCATATTTCTTCGCCTTACGCGCGCCGAAGCGTAAACATCATTGTTTGGGGTGGGGGCGGTCGTCTGTCAAAGTTGGCATGTATTCTAAAATGTTGCAATTGCTGGTTGTCGCGTTCTCTTCCACCTAACATTTTAAAGCATCCAAATCAACAAATGGTCGTCCACTTCCGGTCTTTATTTCAAGGAACAGGGCCTCGCCGTTGAAACGCTTATGGCCATAATTTACCAACGAGGCCCAGTTTACAATACACGATATCAAAAAGCACTAGCATTATATATTGAAGGAAGAAGTCATCATTCTTAACCCCCTAAACCCTACGTTTCTGAACAATTTTAATCCTTCCACCTGAGCTCCTGAGTCAAAATTCACAAATAATTGATATATAATGTTTCACGGTAGGTATAAAAATAGTTTCAAGTGTTTACCCACCGTTCAACCGGTGGCTGGGGATTAAGTTATTTTTCTCTACCACTGTTCAACCGGTGGTTGGGCATTACGTCATTTTTCTCTACCACCGGCAAAGCGGTGGTCAGGGTTCAAAGGGTTAAATTGCTTCAACCAGTTTTGGGCATTTCAATCAGATATTGTTTTATTCCCATTCACTTGCCGAATTTTGAGAGCGTCTTGAGTGGCTTTGAGGCCCAGCTTAAAATAATATCCGCATTTACTTGTATTTTAGTATTTGTAATCGAGATGTAGTGCTGAACAGTACGGATAATGATATAAAATGCAACAACAACAACAACAACAACAATAATAATAATGGGCGTAGAAATGCAAGTACAGCACAATACACCGGCTGAAACTGCAAAATACTTAAAAAAGACAGCAAAGACGAATGCAACCGACTAGATACAGAAGCGATGGTAAGATAAACCGCTTCATGGCCAATACTCTGCCCGTACCAAACAAGCTGACGTAGACAAAACCCGTACCCATCAGTGGCTACGTAGTGCAGGGTTGAAAGCGGAAACTGAAGGTTTCATCCTTGCTGCACATTATTT